TGCAGAGACAGTTCTATGAGGGAAGCAATGCTGGTGATTTCACAATATCATTCTTGTGAGAGCTGGTTTCAAAATAAATTCACCATTGTAGCAGCTACTGTGCTCAATGATACATATGTTTGACAATGGGAGTCTTTGCTGTTAGTGTGTGTGTATGTGTGTCTGTTCCACTGATAACTTGATAACCAATTATCAGATTTCAATTGAACTTTGTACTATATAGATGCCTTAGATGCTTTGACCTAGTTTTTTAGTTAAACCGTGCATATTCATGACCTAATGTGCATACTATTACTCAATTTTAAACATTTTCATTCGTTGTACATGTACCATTCAACATATTTTAATAAAACATGGTACATAGTTGCTTTTGGATAATGTGAAGATCTGATTAGTTATTGGTCCATGTATATTAATGACCTAATTTGCATAGTAATTTGCCAATATTTAACATTCCCACCAATATCTCAACCACTCATCAGATTCTGTGAATAACAAAAACCTGTTTTTTTGTTCCTTGTATTAACAGTTGACTTCCTTAAAAATGATTCAAGCAAATCTTACAGAGAGCTGTGAAGCAAGTGTCGCACTTGTTCGGCTTTAGCGCCACCAACAATGAAACCAATGTTGCAATAGTGGGAGTGGTTCAAATCACGTTGTTTTGGCTTTATAAAATATTTGGTAGCAGCTTGTAAATCCATAACTGAGGCCAGCAATTTTGCAATGTCACACCATAGACTGCCAACTCTTTTACCATCTTTAATCAAAGCTATTGCATTTCTGTCATGAAAATTTGTCTTCTGTCGCTAAAGAAAAAAAATTCTTATTTCAAAACCACCAACTTGCTGAATGGTAGCTTTCACCATGATTGAAGAACATCCAGTCTGATAGGAAAGCAATGTTGATTTAACCTCTATGATGAAACACTAGTAGTGATATCATTCTTAGCCAATCAGTAAAGGAGATGCTTCAAGCTCAAAGATGATTGACAGACGGTAAACAAAAGCATCGTGTGCCATTGTAGCAGATTCGTTTGCTGCGAGCCTATTTTTCTTGTCTCTTCATTCTGATTAGACATGAATTAAAAGTCCTAGCTAACTCCAAATTGTGTGCGACGATATTGACAAACTTCAGGACGAAGCTATAGGGATTTTGTTCGAATTTTACGAAGATGACAATGAACATACAAATACAGATCTGAGAAGTTTTTTCAAACAACTATTCACTTTCGTAATTTTTACTGTGTAATTTATTATTGATCTTGTATGACTGATCCAGTATTTATCAAAACTGGAAATAATTGTATGCAGTTTAACCCCTGATATTTTAGTTCATTTTGAGTTCACGCATATTGGGCGTGTTTTTCGGCGAGGAAATCCTAATTCAAATAATTCCTCACTGTCAACTTTTGACTCCCGTGTGCGAAGCACAAAAGGGAGTCTTTGCAGCTACCCTGTCTGTATGCCTGTATGTATGTATGTCACTTTTTTTGTTCCACCGTTATCTCAAGAACCACTAATCAAATTTTGATGAAACTTGGTACATAGATGCTCTGTAATAATGCGCATAGTTGCTTAGGTTTTGGTGAAAATCCATGATTATTAATTACCTAATTTGCATAATAATTAGCTGATTTTTAGCTGTTCCATGACTGTTCCACTGATATCTGAAGAACCGCTCATTGGATTTTGATGAAACTTGGCACATGGATGCTCTGAACTAATACGCATATTTGATTAGTTTTGGGTAAAAATCCATGAATATTAATAACCTAATTTACATAATGATTAATCAATTTTCGGCTTTTCCACTGATATCTCAAGTACTAATCATAACATTTCAATAAAACTTGGTACATAGATGACATATGACACTTCACAGACCTGATAGTTTTTAGAGTACATATTAATTACCTAATTTGCATAATTAATTAATTTTCAGCTTTTGAGATTTCAAGCAATAATGATCACATTTCAATGAAACCTGGTACATAGTTACTTGGGGACTGTGCAGAGACCTAATTAGTTTTGGGGTAAATATTAATTACCTTATTAGCATAATTAGTTAATTTTCAGCTTTTCACTTGATATCTCAAGTACTAATCATCACATTTCAATGAGACTTGCAACACAGATCTTCTAGGACTATGCAGAGACCTGATTAATTTTGGGGTAAATAATTGTGCATATTAATTACCTAATTTCATAATTAGTTAATTTTTTGCTGTTCCATGGCTGTTGCACTGATGTCTAAAGAACTACTCATTGGATTATAATGACACTTTTAAAGAGTACTCATCATCATATTTCAATGAATCTAGGACTATACACCATAATAGTTTTTGGTGAATATTTATACTTCTTAATCACCTAATTAACATAATTAATTAATTAACACTTGTATCTCAAGTACTGATCATCACATTTGGATAAAATTTGGTACATAAATGCTCTAGAACAATAGGCAGCCTGATTAATTTTGTTCATATTAATTCACTAATTAGCATAATAATTACTATTTTTTGGTTCTAATCACATTTCAATGAAACTTGGTACATAGATATTATATTACGCAAATCTTATTACTTTTACATTGTGCAGACCTTATTAGTTTACACTTAAATCTGTTCATATTAGTTACCTTATTTGCATAAGCTTTTCCATCAATATCTCAAGTTCTCCAATACTCTCAGCACACGGGAGTTCTTTCTAAGCTTTCTTTGATTATTATTTCTGGTTTATTTGTCATATTACCAGGTATTAGCAATAAATTATTTTTGTTATACTTCTAATGTTGCATATTTTTGTTTTATTTCCCTTGCATGTTTTCATTTGCCATTCTATTCCCTGCCACAGTACAATCTGCGTGTTGTTAATTTTGATGAATTTTCATTTTTTTTGCGGGGGATGTCTGGGCATACACCCACCCCTATTTTTTGGCCATTTTCCATGTTCAGGACCGTGGGCGTTTGCTTACCTGGTTAAATATGGTTATTATCTTGTTTGCATAAATTAACCAATTTGTAGATGCTCCACAGATAACTTGAGTACCACTCATCAAATTTTAATGAAACATAGGTGCTTTAGGGTTGAATTCACGTATATTAATTACCTATTATTAGATTGCGTTGGTTGCGTGTTTATACATGTAAAAAAATCCTGCATGCATAAATCTAAATATTTTCCACAGTAGAAAATAAAATTACGGTAAAACATATTTCACACAGTGGAAAAACAATTACAGCAAATTCATCATGAAAAAAAATAGCACAAAACTAAATGAAGGAGCAAAATATTTTGCACAGTTTATCTGCTATCAACCTACAGAGTATCTAATGGTCCACCCCTAAATGCATATAATGTTACAGTGTAGTTTGATATAGAAAGTATTTAATTTTTTAAATACAGGGACTACATACATGTGTTGATATCAATGTTGGCTACTTATGTAAGCAATATTTGGTATTTTCACTCACACGAAAACCAAAGCTGGTCTAAACTGATCTTATCATTTGACTGATTTTGCTACAGTGTAACCATGTGCATGTATGTGTTTGCATGTCTGCTGTACTGACATACCAATAATTACAGATCAGTTTTTAATAAAATTAAATACATAGATGCTTGGAATAATGCAGCGATCTGATTCATTTTATTTTAAATTGGTGCATATAATTAAATAACATGCATAATAATTTTCTTTTCAATGGTATCTCCAATAAATTTAATGATAGCTCTAGAATGTTCTACATATGTAAGTAGGTTAGCGTTGAAAACAGTGCATGTTAATTACCTAGTTTACATAAATTAGAAAATTTTTCAGGAACCACAGTTCACCACAAATAGATTCATACATCTTCGGCAAAGGAAAAGGGCTTGATTACTTAAGGTTGAAATGTTTTCATATTTAATTATCGAATTTGCATAGATTTTTAGATAAAATATTTGCAAGAAACTTGGCTTTGTGGTGATTCATAGATTTGATTAGTTTAGATTAAAACTGCACATCATACCCTACTTCAGGCAAATTTTTGATAGAACCACTTCTTAGATTCAAATTTCACTTGATGCATACATGTACATAGTTTTGTTTAAACCACTGACTGCAAATAGCAATCAAGCTTATTAGTCCCTGTTTCAAACTTTGTTATATAATTTGGTCTCCGTCTGTCCAGCTGTCTGGAGTCATATTTTAGAACCCTTTGGACCAAATCTGTTCATTCTTTGCATGTGGCTAGTATTTTATCTGGAACATATGCACATGTAGTGGTTTAATGATTGAATCCAAGATATCTGATTGGCAGCCATTTGTTTTTTTGAAATTGTAGTATCTTATGCCTGCTTAATCAGTTTTTATTCAAATTTGGTACATACATTATACATGTAAGGATACATGTCTATAACAATTTGTTCTGCGGTAGGATCAAAGAATGGAAACCATCTTGTTTTTTGGAAATGGACGTGGTTTGCCATTTTCACTCAAATTTGTTATAAACATAAATTTTTGGTTATATATATGTCCATGACAATTTGTTTTACAATTGGATCAGAGATTGCAGACAGTCAGTCATCTTGCTTTTTGACCATACTACTATATCTCCAAGGCTTAGGAACCATTTTCATTCATATTTGGTAAATACATCATACATATTGGAATACATGTCCATGTCAGTTTGTTTCACTATCAGATGAAAGATGTTCCACTGTCAGCCATCTTGCTTTTTGTCCATACTACTATATCACCAAGGCTAAGTAACCATTTTCATTCATATTTAGCACATACTTCATACATATTGGAATACATGTCCATGTCAGTTTGTGTCAAAATTGGATCAGAAATGGTTGAATGCCTACAGTCTTGCTTTTCGACCAAACTACTATATTTCTGTACATGAGCCTGTACAAGTAAAATTCAGTTTTGATACAAAAAATGCATGAATAGTATATCCATTTTAATTTCCGACCATATATGTCAATTTCTATATTTCTAATGTTTTGCAGATCTACCGAGTATCCTCAGTGGTAAATATCTTGGAGTATTCGACCCTCTGGAAACAGTATTTACTTATGACCAATTCAAGAAAAAGCATTATCACAAGAAACCTGGTAAGAAATGGAAATTGAAAGGAGAGTTGTTATCAAAAGACCATACTCCATACAGCAACCAGTTTGAACCATATTTGGGAATCTTTGGTTGTGATGAAGCCTCTTTTCAAAAAGGGAAGTTTAATGGCACAATATTTCGGTTTCCTCTGCGTAAAACTGAATCACAACTGAGTGGAAACATTATCTCTAAAGATCGCATCATGGGCCCTGATGGATGGATTACATCATTTAGAACTGATGTTGATTTGACATTGCTGTTTTTGAAGAAAATAGAATCAATATCCGTTTATGAGCGCAGTGGACAGAATACAGAATCAACCCTACTTTACAGTGCCTCAATAGTGAATTCAGTTATTGATCATGTACGAATCCAGAAGTCTAAATTTCTAGAGCAGTTAAAACAAAATAAAGAAGCTCAACCTCTCTCTATAGATGTTGAAATCAAGCTTATGCAGCAGTTCAAGGAAGAAGTGAAACGTTGGGTGGTTGTTCACCAGATCCCAAAGTCTGGATTGTCAAATGAATTTCGGTGTCTTGCAGATGACGATGAGATTCAGTTGCTTCCCTGGGTTGGGGTTGCTGTGCAGATAAGCAAGACGAAAAATGAACAGAGTGATGGAAGGATATTTTGCTTCTTACCACTACCACCAAGCCAGACTACAGGTCTCCCAGTTCACATACATGGATATTTTGGACTTGGAGATAACAGACGAAGTATAAAATGGCCAGATATGGAATCACAACAAGACAAAACAGCAAGGTGGAACAAACTGTTGACATCAGAAGCTATTCCTGAAGTGTATGTGAAGTTAATTACATCATTAATATGCGAGTATAAACTGGAGCCAAAATGTGTTTATGCAGCATGGCCAGATCCTTGTAAATTAACTACAGAAAACTGGAAATTGCTGCTGGAGAAATTGCTAAAGCAGCTACTGGAAAATGATGTATTTTACACAGAAGCTTACTATGGATCTTGGATTGGACTTAAGAAAGCTATATTTAACATCCCTCAAAGGAATATATCCTGTACAGTGCAACAAGACATCGTGAACATGTTATTAGAGCATGAACAACCAATTGTCACTCTTCCAATGCATATCCTAGAGTGGTTAAAGGCATCAAATATTTTGCTCACTAAAGTCACACCATCTAGTGTTAGGTGCTTTTTAAAGTCAATATGGCATCAACATTTTGAACGACGGACCAAACTGAATATACTGGAATATATTTTAGCTGATGCACAATACAGTGATCTTAATGGTCTTCATCTGCTACCATTAGCCAATGGGACATTTACATCATTTAGCTGTGTAGGTGACTCTAGAAAAGTTTTCATTGCTACTACAATTTGCCCTCAGTATTTATTGCCTAATATGAACAACAGATTCCTGGATGGAAGTTTGCCACAACTGCTCAAATCAAAATTGGAAGATGCTTCTGAGTATACACAACTAAGTATTCTGAATCCAGAGATTGTCGTTCAGAACCTGCGATCTGCTCTACCCTCTAAATGGACTGAAGGTTCTGAAAGTACAGTAATGTGGAGTCAGGATGGTGATGATCAATGTCCTCCACCTGAATGGTTGTCTCAATTTTGGAACTGGTTTAGATGCAAGATACAGCTTTCTATAACAGTTCTAGAAGGGTTGCCGTTAATCCCATTGAATAATTCTAGTTGTACCATTGAATTACTTAAACTGGAATCGGGTCCTAAGGCAATATTTAATAGAACATCACTGTCAACACTCTCAGAAGATATAGTCAACGTTGTTGAGCATTGTGGTGGTTTTGTAATAAAAGAACAACTTTATTATCCACAAGATTCTTCATTCAACAAATATATTGCTTCACCTGATGCTACTGGTGTTTTGGTAGTCCTGGAGAACATTGGTATTGATGTGGTTGAACAGAAACTAAAGAACAATCCTATTTTAGCTAGACCATTGTGCACATTTTTGTCCATACTTAATATTCATAGCTATGATGAACACTTCCTGACTCTGAGACAATTATCTATTTTTGGAACAATACTATGTGATACCTGCGTTTCTGTAAGCCGTTGTTCTTTGATAGCACCCAATGAATATAAAGATATCCCTTGTAACAAGATCAAGAAGCAGATGATTGAAAGTGATGATGTGAATACTCTTAACCTAGCAAAGGCTCTTGGGGCAAATCAATTGGAATTTGCTGAATATATAGAAAACCACATTCTACATGAGTTTGATAATGGTTATTTTTCTAACCGGGAAGTCTTGAAGATTATGGAATGGGTACTATGTCGTTCCCAGTATGATGATATTGTGAAGAAATATAGATGTATACAGACTCGTGGTGGGCAGTTGTCTAAACCATGTGAAATCATTGATCCAGACAACTCTCTACTGAGAATGCTTCTTGGAGAATCAGGACTGCCGGTTGACACTTACGTTCAACCCAAATTCATTAAACTCATTAGAAGAGTTGGTCTCATGGAAGAATCCAATGTGAGTCCTGATATGATATACAACATAGCAATGAACCTTGACTGTCAGAGACGTAAGTGTACACCAGATATGATGCAGAAAGCACATTGTTTGCTGGAATATGTGAGTAAATATCCAGAGAAGCTTAACAAACACACAACTGACAGATGCAGTGCCAAGCTACTGTTTAATAGGTTAACAACTTTAGCGTGGCTTCCCTGTGATGTTAACAGACCAAAATGTTACCCAGAATGGCTTCCATGGTTTGCTGATGATGAACAAAACAGCCAATGCCTCTTTACTCCTACAGAGGTTACATCTCATGAGCATTGTAAACAAGTTGGTGGTGTCATGCCTATCATACCTGTACAGTATCTGAATAATTCCCTATATTCCACATTTCAATGGCAGACTTTGGATGGTGAGGCATCTATTGACCATGTGCAGAAAGTAGTAATGCAGATGAAGCTCATAGTTGATTCAGCAGAGGAAGTCGTGCAAAATATGCTAAAACCCCTGGAAGATATGATTTTTGAAATTTACAGCTTTCTTTCCAAGTCCAACATTGAGTGGGTGAGACACTGGATAAATGTCAAAGGAGGCAAAACACTGAAATGGATCTGGCATGGAAGAGGCTTCACAAGTGCAAATAATGTAGCTTTTACTTCAAACTTGCATATCAACCTTCAACCTTACCTGTTTACATTGCCACTGACATTAGCTGAAGAACATTCACAGTTGTTCAAGAAAATGTACATCCCTAAAGAGTTTAATCCAGGAGCACTTGCTGATGTTTTGCATAGCATTAAGAAGAAACATTGTAGGACTGACTCTTCAAAGGATGTAGAATCTGACTTGAAGCTGTCATGCGAAATAATACATCTACTGTGCAAGGATAGTAACTTGAATGATGATATTCAGAAATTGATTCTTGTACCTGCAAAGATGCATGATATGTCAAAGTTAAAGTTGGTTGAAGTAAATGTATGTCTTTACTGTGATAGAGAGTTTCTTTCTGATGACCTGAAGGACAACTCATATTATATTGTACATGATGACATACCAAATGCAACAGCTCGTAAATTAGGAATGCAGCCTTTGAGTAACCATGTGGCTCCAACTGATAATCTAGGATATGACTTGGCTGGTCCTCATGAAAGTGTCATAAATGCCATAAAGAGGAATTTAGAAATGTACAAAGAAGGTGTTGACATCTTCAAGGAACTCATTCAAAATGCTGATGATGCAGGAGCTAGTGAAATTAGGTTTCTCATAGACCACAGACAAAATACTGATGTGCAATTGAAGCTCCTAGACCCTGGTATGAAACACTGTCATGGTCCTGCACTTTGGTCATACAATGATGCCATGTTCTCAAGTGAAGACATAAGAAACATTTGTGATATAGCTGCAGCATCAAAGAAAGACAAACTTGACAAGATAGGACGTTTCGGTCTTGGATTTACTTCAGTATACCATGTTACAGACGTTCCAAGTGTTGTCAGTGGGTCGCATATCATGATTTTTGATCCAAGGATGACTCATCTCAAATCTCGTATTCACAACCCTTCCCAGCCTGGCATTAAGTTGAACCTCCATGAAGAATCTCATCGACAGACCCTCAGTGTATGTGTAGATCAGTTTCAACCTTATCATGAAATATTTGGGTGTAATATTTCTGAAGATTTTAAATTTAATGGTACCCTTTTTCGACTTCCTCTCAGAAATCATTATCAAGCAAGTGACCAAATGGAAAACTGTATCACTGATAAGGTTTATCTGGACAAACACAAACTTCAGCAATTGATTGTGCAACTTAGAGATTCAGCACCATCTCTTCTCGTGTTTACCCAGAGTGTGAAGGAAATGAGCATATGGGAATTGAAAACTGAAGGGAAAACAGGTGCAGATGCTGTGAAAATGTTAACCATTAAAGTCAACTTAATACAACAGCTACCGAGACAAATCACCAGTGTTACTGAATGTCCACCAACAAACAAGATTGAACAGCTAAAAAATCAATCAAACATCCTGAAAGCCACTTCAAAATGGTTGATCAATGTAAATGGTAAACCACCAGATTCAACTAGTTTAATAGAAGTTGTATTTGAGTCTAAGTGTTTAAAAGATTGGAAGACAAAAAATGAAATGTGGCTTGTTAGTGCCTGTGCTAGTAGTGGAGCCGCTTTTGAAGCAGCCCAAACTGATGATGGTAGGAAACAGGGAGTTCTTCCTTGTGGTGGAGTAGCAGCTAAGTTAAAATCAGAGGTAAATGGACTAAATCCTTCCCCAGTAGTAGGACAGTTATACTCATTTCTTCCTGTAGCTGTTCAGACAGGTTTACCAATCCACCTCAACGCACCATTTGCATTACAGCCGAACAGAAGACACATATGGAGCAAATCCTCTGTTTCAGGGAAAAATACAGAATTTGAAGGAGAATGGAATTTGTGTCTCATGATTGATGTTCTGAAAAAAGCTTTCATAAATCTTTTAATTGACATGATTCAACTTCGAATGGAAGGAACAGTTGGGAAGCATGACTTTCATACTCTGTGGCCAAACCTAGAATCAACTGAGACTGACTTCCACCCTTTTGTAAAAGCTTTCTATGAAGGGATGAGTGGAAATCAGAACAGTGAGCCACCTCGAATAATTTACAATGAATCTCAATGGGTAACACTGAATGATTGTTTATTCCTCGGAACTGATTTGCAGCAAGAAACAACTATTGCTGAACATGCAATGATTCTCCTGAATGAATATTGCAAACCAAAGAAAGTTATTCAACTAAATAAAGCCGTAGAATATTGTATCATAAGACAAGTCAACCAGGAAAATGTGTACAACATTACACGTTTCTATAAGGATGTATTCTTCAAATATACAGAAGATATTTCCCTGGAAATCAGAAATTCAATGCTGCTGTATTTGCTAGATATTCGTATTGGTGCTCAGAAAGATATTAGTTTTGATGTGAATTTGAAGAAGGCACCATGTTTTCCGGTCTCTCCTGATGGCTTCTCCATTGATGTTCCCCAGAATCTTGTGCATCCAGAATCTTTAGTAGGCAAACTGTTTGATGATTCAGATGGTAGATTCCCCCATGGTGCTGGTTTCCTATCCAAAGAAAGACTGTTTTCACTCATTGACCTTGGAATGGCTACAGATGAACTATCATGGGAAGATTTGTGTGGGAGAGCAGAATCTGTGATGGATGTCTTTAAAAGCTATGGGTTTTTTGCTGCTGTTTCTCGCACCAAAATCATATTTAAAGTGATGAATAATTTGCTGAAACAAGGAAAAATGCCACATTTAAATGATATTAAACGATTGACTAGAACGTCCTTTCTGCCAGTAATGACAAAACCAAATGATTATCCTTGTGAATGGTTTGGTGAGAATAAGCTGTCGAATGGAGATAACTTGTATAGGAAAGAATGTTTGTACTATCTTGGCTCTGTTGCACAAATACTTGACGAATGCTGTATAGACAGTGCTGACGTAAGTCAAGAAATAATGCAAATCCTAGGTGTTAGGAGCAAGGCCCTAGTTGATGATGTTCTCATACAGTTGCAGCATGTATCAATGTTTCCAAAAGCCAAGAAAACAATGTTAATGTGTTCTGAGATATACCAGTACTTACAAACAGTGTTATGTGAAGAGGTGGCAACTGATGATGGAGATACTATAGTACAGATTACTACTGGTTATGAAAGGAAAGTAGAGAAACTTAAAAGCATGAAGGTTTTCCTAGTTGATGAAATGTTTGTTGGCGCTGATCAGTTAGCATTTACGTGGATGGAGATGACTGCACCTTATTTGTATAAGGTCCCTAACGATCTTGTGAAGTATAAAAAGCTTCTGCAAGTTTGTGGTGTTAGAAAATCATTCTCCATTGGTGATTATCTAGATGTACTGATGAAGCTAAAAGAGAAAAATGGTGCAGAACCTCTTGATGAACATGAACTACGAATTACTTTACTAATATTAAAAAGAATTGACTTTTCGGATAACATTGTGTATGCTCCTGACACAGATCGAATTCTAAGAGATATCAAGGAGCTGACCTATGATGATGCGCCATGGTTATTTAATAAAGCTCAGTTTACCTATGCTCACCACGAAATCAACTGGAAGCAGGCTGATAGGCTTGGTATCATTGCAGCAAGAAAGAAGAGGGCAAAAGAGTTCACATTGCCACTTGGATGTGCTCAGCGATTTGGTCAGAAAGAAAAGCTCACAAATCGTCTG